GTGTGATCCCAACTGGAGCGGAGTGAAATACTGTAAAGGGGACCCGGATTGATCTGAGCCAAGGGCATTTAGACCTGCCGTTCTTCCAGCACCTCACACTGCAGGACTTTCCAACAACCTGGTCTTTAATTATTTAATTGGCCCGTGCAGCATGCAATTAAATAATTATGCAATTGACTGATGTTACAACATGCTAGAATGGAGAAGATGGGGAAGGAGCGCTTTGTGTATTTCTGATCTCTAACTGCCAGGGTAGACTTGACGGTTACCTCTTGTTTTCCTGAATGACTTCTCACTGTGGAAGCCTGGACTTGGTTAGGATTCACAGTCCACCCCTGCAGAAACTGGGATGATGTTGGCAGCCTCTTTCAAGTCAGTCAGAAACGTAGGGTTACCTTGCTGTTTATTTTTGTTTTTAAAAAAGGAGGATTCAGTTTGCTCTGTGATTTTAGCTTTTTAGTATAATTTTGTTTCCGGTCTTGGTTCTGGTAACCCGAATGCGGAATTGGAACGAGAAGCACAAGATCTGATTTTTTTTTTGTGTGTGCACTTTGCCTTGAAGGCTGTTTACACTGGCGCGGGGTTTATTTTTGGTTTTTGTTTGCTCTGACTTCTCACATCCCTGTCGGGGTTTTGGGCACTGCGCTGGTGCTTTGGCTTTGCCTCCTGCTTAACAAGTTCTGTGCCAGGTCATGACCTTCAAATCTCTTCTGTTTAGTCAACACACCACCTTAAATTGAGTCAGCTCTCGCCTAAGTTAGAGTAAACTACACCATACTAGCAGCCGCGCACGTCGGTTTCTTTTAGATTTGAGAATCGGCTAGACTGTTTCCCAGCTGGAATAAATGTGGCTTTGTCTTGAGGGGGAGCATGGTATTGTCGTAAGTGTTTCTTGAAGTGAAGTCTCTTGGGAATACTGACAGCTAGTTCGGTTTGGCTTGGCGGTACAGTTGAAGAATGTGAAAGGGTGCTCATGAATACAGTGCAGCGGTGGAACTCGTTGATATTCGAAGATGTTGGCGTCTCAGAGGTTGGCTGAAGGGCGTTGCACATCCTTCAGGGGGGACTTGAGTGTGGCCGTAAATATGATTCCTCTAGCGCTCGGGAGGCTAGTAATGGTGTATGTACAGTGTTTGTCTTCTGTTTTGCGTTGTCATTCTTTAGTCCGTTGGTCACTTCCAGCAAATGGGTCAGCCAGCTTGACCTCCGTCCACTTAGCTAGGTGACAGTGGTCACTAGTGCACCACGGAGAGAGATTGTGTGACCCTTGGGCACTGGAGAATCCGAAGTGGAGTCGTGCCGGACAAGGCAGTGAAGGTCGCACCCCCCCAGGATTTTAGTGCAGTGTGATGGGCTGTTTTGATCTTCCATTGGTGTGAAGGGCTCTTGCTAGCATGTTGCTCTCCAAGTATCCCTGACCACCTGTCCCTGGAATCCCCACATGTTCCTCCAGCTATGTTAAATATAGAGTGAGGGTCATTGTGAAGACTTCGGGTTTGCTGGTAACTTTTACCTTTTTTTTTTGCTGATTGGTGCAAGTCTCCTTGCATCCATAGGAATAGTTTGTGTAGAGCATGTTTACCCCTTTTTGACATCCCCAGCAAAGAGTCTAGGGTCTCCCTGGAAAATGAGTGTCTTGTTTTTCTCCTCTTCAGCTTTTTCGTTGTAGTTCAGAAATGTAGTTGAATTTATTACATTGAGGAGAAAAGGGAGTGATGAAGCTTCATGCAAAGGAGGAGGAGATGGAGATATTTTCCTGTAATGTAGTCAGACCTGCCTGTTTTTTTTATGTAAAATAGCTGGAGTTATTTTTTTATCTTAGTGTTTCACAGATCAGGGTGTTGAAGGTCTCCAGTTTTCTTGAGAAGGAACTAATTTCTTGTGCTTGGGAAGCTTAGATCAATACTTGCCCTGTCCAGGACAGCCTCAAAGGAGCTGATAACAGTGTATTGCTTGTGTCCTTTTTTATGACGAACCAGGGTCATTGAGCCTGTGTTATAATAGGTGGACAGCTTGACACCACTGCTGTGCTCTTGTAGCATGAGCTGGTCCGCATGTGGGATGTTCCTCCTGGCCCAGGACCCTGTGATTCCTCAGTGAAGAGTCCGCTGGCTTTCCTGAAGTTTTCTGGAGACTCACGAGAGATGGATATGTGGTACGCTACAAATGTGGCATTTCACTTCTTGAGACAAGTATTTCGACAGTGGTGTTGGATGTGGCCAAACTGTAAAAGGTCCCCAGAAGCCATAGAATAAAAATGGGGAATTTGTGTTGATCATAAACTTTAAATAGCGAGTTGCATTCTGCTCGGGAGATGTATATGGTTTAAATCCACGTGTGCTGGGCTATGACAGGCAGAAAAGAATGTCTTTATAAGGACAAATCATAGGTCACTTATATAATATACATTAACTTGTGTTGGTAGAAAGTATTTTATACTTTGGACATGGGACTTCTGAGTTAGTCCTCACCTTGTGGTGGAGTGAGAGAATGCTTTATGTGTCTCGGAGGGCTAAGTCAGGGCACCTTCTGTATCTCTGCCTCTGGCCAGCCTTGTTTTGCACCGTCTAGTGCAAGACCCTGTTTCAGGTCACCAGGCCTGAATTGCCCCGTGGGTCTGAGACATTTACACTGCTGTACTTAAGTATAACCTCCTACCTGGACTGACAGACATTCAGTAAAGCTCAGCAGTCTGCCAGCATTTTCTGATTGTTTTTAAGTGGTGAGTATTGGCCTATGTGAAAGGTGCAGAGGATCAGCTGAATGCATGTTTGCTTGCTATTTTCGTTCGAGGTTGGAGGAGTTGCAAGGAAAAAAGCTCAGTTTGGTAGAAGCCCGGTCCAGCAGAAGGCAAACCCATGAAACGGACTGTTTGGGGCTCTGTGTGCTCTGGCATGCCAAGTTTCTTATCTTATCTTGGGAAGAAAGTCAGGTGTTTTTGCAAGTCCGCTTGTCCCGCGAGTGCCACTGCATGCTGGGTCTGTTGACTCGAATGATCTTCTCAGACTTCAAGGTCATATCCAGGAGGGAGGACGGAGGGTTTGCACTCTTTTCTCTTTGCGTCTCCTTGTGCCGCTCCTTTTCTTTGGCCTGTGTTCCGTCATGCTGCGCCAGCCTGCGAGAATTGAAGTCCTGTTTGCTTGTGACGTAGAGGGTCTCTCCTGCGGGTGGGGATAGCAACCTAGAAGTATTGTGGCAGGCCGGGGTGTTGCCCCCTGATGCATGCCAGCAGCAGGGCTGTGCTGAGCGGTCTCCGTTAAGGAAAGGCATGCCAGTCCTCCTTTTTTTAACTTGCGCTGAACTTGCTTCCCAGCCAATGCATAGACAGGAGCAGGGCCTGGAATCCTGGAGAGCCTGCACAGATAAACATTAACTTGGAGATGCAGCACTACTTGGTGCAGAGAGAGGTCTGGATAGTTGTTTTTTTCACCTTTCTCTGTTGGTTTTTTTTTGTGCAAGTCTGCCTTTTATTTGAGATCAGAATCCTAATTTTGCCCGTGTCCAGGAAAGCAGTTTTACTTTACTCAAGAGCTGCTCAAAGTGTAGCAAGAAGAGCAAATGCTGAATGCCTCTCCTAAGTGTTTGATTCTGTTCTGTGCATGGCTGTGATGCAACACAGTTTTTTTCTTGTTGATCACTATGCTGTACGCTTTTAGCGTCTTGCAGCAGCACACGGTGTCATGTCTTTTGTCTGTGGCTCTAAAACCAGTCACTTTACAGGTTATCGGCAGGTTCTTGTGCTGTGCTGGTACAAAAACTCTTTTGGGTTTGTTTTTAAGTCGTGCTGTTTAGTTGGGGTTTCGTACAGTTTGTTAGTGCTGACTGAGGTCTTCAGCCAGACTTCGTTGCTGTTTTGCGTGGGGAGTGGAATAAACTTGTTTAATTTGCATCCATCAGAAAAGCTTTCTTTTAGTTTGGGAGGTGTAAGCAGGGGTTATGAGCATCCAATGAAGTATGTGTCTTCATCCTCTTCTGCACAAAAATAAATGGAATGGCAGTATCAAACCAGTTTGAGAATCCATTTAAAATGAAGAGGTCCCTAGCCCTGGCTATTTAAATCGTTCTGTAACGCGGGACTGGCTGCCTGGCCAGAGCTGCTTTTGAGTGCTTGCTAAGACGCAGAGTGTTTCTTCCTCTTTATTTCCATCTCATTCATACCTCATCTCTTCTGCACTAGCACAGTAGACTAGTCCCAGTAGCCACCATTGGAAGACTTTGTCCCATCATGCACAGCTGGTTCTGTTTCACTGTAGGCAGTGCTTCATCTGTTCTGGGAACCTGCCTCTGCACTGTGATTCTGATTAATCGAGCCTAACTCGCATGTTTTCAGCACCTGGTTAAGAACCATGTAGAAGGGAGGGTGGGCCAACTCCAGATAAACATCCCAAACTGGAGTTGCATCCAGAAACTCTCTGGCAGTAGTGCAGACCAGCAACTCATTGTGCCACCTAACAGGTTTTTTTTGTAACTTTATGAAGTGTATTAAATTTGGTAAATGTATTATTTTTCCTTTTTTCCATTTGCAAGCCCACCCAGCAAAACAAGTTAGAGGTTACTAAAACATTGTGTACGTACAGATGTCCGACATTAGGTTCTTGTGTGTTCCCATTTTTATCTTAAATACAAATAATTTATACAAATATAGCTTATCACTATTCAGGGGAGCTTAGTAATTGCTCTGACCTACCGGAGTCAAAACATGGTTTTGACAGAAGCAGGTTTTACAGTCTCTTCTAAATAGGAGGCTGAAGAGTTCATGGTCACCAAGCTTGTCCTCATTAAGTATATACATGTGTCCCATTAAGATTCTTTAGAGCTCAACTGGAGCACAAATTAGTCGGGCAATGCTTAATAGGCCAATTGGAAGTTTATCTGCTTCTCGTGTCAGTTATCATTCAGAAGTCAATACTTCTGCAAAACTGCAAGTTGCATCCTTGATGATAAACACCCTGTTTCCTGGAAACAGTTGAGTTGCGCTGAGATTTCTTTGTGCACATGTATGCCTTAAGTACGTTTTGTTTGTGCATCTGTTCCCTAGCGTTTACTTCGTGGGGCAGTGTTGTGGGTTTGCCCCTGTTGCCGAAAAGGGAAGAATCCTTGACTGCAGTGAAGGAGTTGCAGCTGCTTGGTTGCAGCCTTCCTGACGTTTCAGACAACCGAGCGTTTGTTTGCGAGCGCGTCACAATTGCTCTTTCAGTCCCACGCTGTTCTGGAAGGGCCCGGGGTGAGGGCAGCGCCTGGCCTCCGATCGGAAGCACTGCAGGAGAAACCTTTTGCACGCCCAGGGGGTGTGGTCAGGTGCCTGCACGGCTCGGCTCCAGGGGTTCATACATTTTACAGGCATTAGGGGAGCTTTGAATTGTTGAGCTGCGCGCATCTTGTTGTTCTCCTGAAGCACCTCACAGTTTATCCTTGTGTTTTGGAATAGGCAGGGGCTATGAACTGCTAGCCAGAACAGGACGGCCACTTCAGGGTTTTCCTGAAGAACCCAACTAGGCCGTCATTTGTCCATTGACGTGCTGCCTCTTCAGATCCATGGGCTCTTTTGCCTTGTTTTTAATGTGCAGTTTTTTAATTCCTTTTTGGGGGGGGGCTTTTCTTTTAATTGTTTGTTTTTTTTTTTTTTGTATTTTAAACCTCCAGGTGTAGCTGCTAGGGTCCAGAGGAGATGGCGTTGAGGTTTCGGTCGTTCTTCCCCTACACGTTGCCTGGCGTGCTGGCGCTGATAGGCTGGTGGTGGTACACCTCTCGCAAGAAAGGGCGACTCGCCGAGCGCACCAAGGAGGAGGCCGCCGGCGCCGGCACGGTGCTGCCGGAGGCCTGCCGGCTCCCCGCTCCCTCCGGCGAAGGAAGCAATGGGATCGTGGAGAAGAGCTGCCCCCGGCAGGCCTCGGACAGGAAGCCGCAGAAGAGCAAGAAAGACGCCGCAGAGGAGCAGGAAGTTGTCGCAGAAGTCCACACCGTGATGGCGGAGCCACCGGCCAAGGAGGAGGGCCCAGTGCCGTCCAGCGAAACGCTGGGAGCCTCGTTAGCCCCCTCCGACGTTGGCGGTTCGGTTGCAGAGCTTGATGCCAAGGCCGAGCCAGCGTTGCAGGAGAGCAGGGCCGTGCCCCGCCTGCTCGAGGCTGCCTTCCCCCATCGGCCAAAAACCGCGGAGCAGAGCCTCCTGTTGCAAGGACCAGGGGAAGCTGGGTTGAGTGCAGGCGCTCCGCTGCTGGAGGGGATGCAGGTGGCCACAGCCTTCATCTCGGCGCCTGGAAAACAAACGACCAAGAAGGACGAAGGCAAGGCAGCAGTGCTGCCGGCCTCCCGGTCGAAGGAAACCAAGATCTCCTCCGCCGCGGAACTGGCCGAAGCCGTGAGGCCGGAGCCAGAGGGAGAAGTGGCGGCGGACAAAATCGCGGTGCCTTTCGCCGAGGAGCTGCAGCCCGGAGCGGCGAAGGAGAGCCTCTCCTCCAAAGGCGACCTGCACGCCGCGCCGGCGGTGGAGGACCAGAGCCCCCCATCCGGTCGCAAGGACCCCCCCTGCTCGGAAATCCCGGCAGCTTTCGTTTCCTCCTGCCACGTCGCGTCCACCCCCGCCCAGCCGCCCAAGCCTGGGGCGGAGGGCGCCCCCGAAGCGGAGGGGTACAGCAGGCCCCAAGAGAACGGCTTGCCCGCGGGCCTGGCGGAACGGCGCGGGAGCATCGATGAGCTGGAGCGGCTGGCAGCCGGCCTGATCACGGAGGTGATTTCGGCGGCTGCGCAGGAGGTGACGCTGGTCGGCCGCCGCGGCGACGCGGGGAATGGACAGGGGTGCGGGGCAGCCGTGGGGGAACAGCACTCGAGGAGCGCACAGGAGGATGGGGAGACGGGCGGCAGCTGCCTGGCCAATGGGAAAGCGTGCATGGTGTGTGACCAAGTCAAGGGGGATGAAGGCCAGACAACCCAGGAGGTGGAGCGCTCGGCACAGGAGCGCTCCGGCGCAGCAGCAGCACTTGCCACGTTAACTTCGGAAGGAGAGGATACGAAGGAAGAGCCGAAAGGAATGCAGGCGCCCGTCTGCCCGGCCGCACGGAATGGCTCCTTACCGCCTCTCGCGGAGGAGAATGGGATCAGTGGGAACAGCAGCAGGTGGAGAGCTGAGAGAGGGCAGAAAAGTCACTCCGTGGGCTTGGCTGAGGGCAAGAAGGAAGCAGTGCCTCAGAGCCTGGTGAGGCTCCAGGTGGAGGAGCTTGCGGCTGGTGCAGAGGATTCTGGGTGCAGCACGTGCCAGTCGGAAGATGGGATCAGCAGTGAGGACCTCCTGCAGGGCACAGGGCTGTCCTGTGTGGTGCCCGAGAGCAAAGAGGACCTGTTGAATGATTTGGTGGTGGAAGTAGCCTCAGAGGGGCAGTGTACAGGGTCGGGTTCAAGTTCAGAACAGTCTCCAGCAGCAGCTGTGCTACCGACGCACAGAACCACATGTGCGGGCAGGGGGCTTAATGGCTCCTCCCTCAGGAACGGAGGACACTGGACAAACGAAGCAGAGGGAGATCATTCTGGAGGTGAGTTTGAAAGTAACTACAAGCAGAAATACCAGCCCAGGTCGTGGAAGCCTGCTGCTTTGCGTTTGTTGTAGCTGAGCTGTCTGGTGTTTTTTCGGCACCTTCAATTGTTCGTCATTCTGGATTATTTTGCATTCCAGTTGAAATTGGTTAAGAAGGTGTGGTTCAGCATGTTTGTTACTTCAGGTGCAGTTTTCATCAAGCAGCAGTGAGCTGAGATAAATCAAATACCAGAAGAGATGAGGCTTTGTCAAGAAGTTCTCTCTACTTTTGACGTTCTCTGATAATCCTGTGCAGTGGTAGTAAAACAGCAGCCATGCAAGAGTACATCTTGCTGTGTGGGTGCCTTTTTGCTGAGATGCAATATGACTGTTTCTAATTTCTTTGGCTTTTTTGTAATATACACTTGGGACATTTCTGTCAACCTCTATAGCAAGGCTTTATATGTGACAACAGGGGATCGGCATAGAGATGTATGAATAGAATTGGTTGCCAAATGTCTTCGGGTTTGCCAGAAAATAGTTTTTTGCTACTACATGACGGGTGTTTTGAGCAGAGTCTTGGTGTAGGGCTAATGCAGCTTTCTTATGGTCTGCCTGTGGGATGTTAACACATGGCAAGATTAGGAAAGAGTAGCACACTTCTTTTGGCCCTGGGGTGGATATCTGTCTGGACAGTGCTGGTGATGACCACCTCTGGCACTGTCCTGGTCACTGCCAGGAGAGGCTGGGTATTTCCTGAATCACAGCCCTGACTTCTGTTCAGGTTCCCACCTAACACACAAAGCAGATGAGGTTTGATGTTCTTTACTTGACTCTTAAGCATTTTTCCTTTGTTCCGCAGTAGCGTATGCTAGATTTACTCTTTTTGTGGGTTAGGCTTTGGATCTTTACGATTGCATGCTTTCTGTTGCTATGTTTCATTCAGCAAAAATTTAAAAATTAGGCTTCCTTTCATTTTTCTTTTCAAAGTATGTCCGTAACTTGTGCCCAGATTGAATTTCAAACATTGATTCTTCTGCTGTAGAAGCATACTGTTTTGGAAGGTTTTATAAACCTTATTAGAGGCTGCTGTAAGAGGCTTAACAACAGACAGGGAGCATACTTGGAAATGATCTAACAGATTGAGGCATTGATGTGCAATGTACAGAAATATTGCAGTCCCTACGTAAGTGGTGTCTCCAAGGGGCTTGATTCTTACTATCAGCAGGTTTTTACTGAAGCAATTTAAAACTCACTGTAACACACATTTTAATGTAAATGTTTTTCAATTCTTTAGATATTGTATGTGGATGAAAAAGCATGCATCTTACTTAGTATGGTTATCACCACTGTTAACATGTAACAGTGAACAAAGTAGCACTTTCACTGGACATCATTGTAGTTATTTCCACCACCTGACTTAGCTGATTTTATTCAATGCAGTTTATTAACTTCACACCAAGGGAAAATGTACTTCAGGAAGAAAATGGTACAAATGTTAATATTGAATAGCAGTTAACCCGTCAAAACATAACTTGTGTAGCATAACTTTTATACAAACAAGATATGGAGTGTTTAACAGCTTTGACTTGCATTCTTTTGGCATATAGCCTGCAAAAATAACTTTTACGTTCCATGTCGTATAAAGCGAGAAATTCAAAGTAGGTTTTTGTTATTTACAAGCAATCTAGCTTGATTATTGCACTTTAACCTTGCGACAGAGTATGTCGGTATGGATATTGGCACAGGAATGCTTTTTCCCCAGTGGTATTCATAACTATGTGGTGGATTCTGGTGGATGTGAGTAATGCATCTGAAAGACCACACTACAGTGCATGTCTGGTTTTGCATTCATTTCAAGTGCTCACTCATAGGTGTGGGTGAAATGCCCCTCGACTATAGACTGTCTATAAAAAGCAGTGCTGAACCATGTGGTCACTGAAAGGTGCACAGTAGCATATATAAGAAACAGCGCAGTTGCTTTGTTTCTGTGTTGATGTACTAGCTAACAATGTCAGCTGTGTTAGATTTAGGTTACTGTGGAAGCATGTACCAAGATCTTGACCATTTTACTGCCAGCATGCATGCAGCGGATATTTATGCAAATATTTGATGGAAGTTTTTTCAAGTTTCTTTCCCTTTGTAGCCATCTTTTAAAATCTGCCATACAGGTGCTTCCTGTAGCTTATCCGGGTGAAGACCTTTGTGGCATCCTGCAGGTGGGATTCCTGAGAGGCAGGGAGGTGTAATTGGAGGACTGTGCCCTGGTGCAGACAGCACAAATGTTACAAACGGCTCTAGTGAGGGAAGGTGAAGCAGGTTCCCACTTGGACATGAGAGCCTTTGGTTCCTGGCGCGGCGCTCTGGTTCTTCGTGTGATTGAACGGTGCTTGGGCAGCGCAGCAGGGTGATCAGTGCTGTAACTGGCCGCTGTGCTGCTTGCAGGCTCCGATGTCAACAGCATGGACTCTGTGGACAGCGGCTGCACGCTGGGAGCCGGCGAGGCCAAGCGGGGCACCGGCCAGCCTCCGCATCCGCAGAAGTCGGAGCTCACCATCTGGGAGATAGAGGTGCCGAAGGTGAGACTGCCTTAGCAAATTCTTATGACCTTGAGGTATCGTCATGGAACATGAAAAACCGAGTTCTACGAAAACCGCACACCATCGCAGGAGGCTGGAATAGAGGAAAAGGAGATTTGGTGTTTGAATGCATCTGTGGTTGGCACATTGCTGTTTTTTTTTACCTACGGTCCATTCATGCATCCTGGAAGGGGGCTACACTATGGAGACGGAAATGTCAGGCAGCTCTGCTCTATATTTTTGGGGGGTTTGCCTGATGGTGGAGTCCATATTTTGAAGAGTGTAGCAGGTTGCCTTCGCAAGGAAAGCGAACCTGTTTTACATTGAGCTACTCTGCTTCCTTTGAGAGGAGGGGAGAGACAACACTGGAAGTCCTTACGTGGAAGAATGTGACACCCACGATTTAAGTTATAGACCTGAAATTAGAAACCATCAGACAGACGTGGCTCTTGCCCATTATTTTAAAGCAAGGCTAGCTTTGCATTACGCTGACCTGCAGGTGTGGTGACACCTGGCTCTCAGGTAGTTGGAGGAGTGTAAGGGGAATCGAGCTGTCTGTATGTTTGAAACACTCAGCTTAGTGATGCTCCACTGCACGGCACTATCTGGAGTGCCGGAGGAATAGTACCGTTTCACACATTTTAATATTTTAATTAGCTTGAAAGCTGCTTCAGCAGCCTCATTTTGGAAACTGGGGGGTGGATTACATTCAAGATGGTGGTGAGGGAAATTACTGGTGCGTTAGTCTACCCAACCATTAAGAATTTGCTCAGTGGTTAGATAAGACTTGTTTCAAAGTGTTCCTGAGAGCCATCTACGAGAGCTGTTTCATCATAAATGTGCATCTTTGATGCTTACAAAGAATCTCTTTGTAATTGCATGTAAATCAGGAATGCATTGTCCAAGTACTATGTGCGATCACAGCTCGCATTGGATGCTGCCTATCACAAACAGGAAAAGTGACATCTTTTTGCCAATCGGTAGTAACCCAAGATCAAAACCACCCCCAATTTTTTTTGTTTTGGATCAAAACACAAGCACATTGTCTGTCAGGTGATTAGGATAATACTCAATACCTGATAAAAGCTGTATGCGACTGATGGGAGGAGCCAGGTGAGAATTAAGGTAGGTCGTTGTCTTGTTGGGGAAACGTTTAGATGAGAGTACTGAAGCATCTTCTTTGCTCTCAGGTAGTGGGTTTTTTTTTTATTTTTCCAGGACCGGATTGGGTTTTTGGCTTTTTTTTTTTTTGTTTTGTTGGGGGATTTTTTGTTTTTTTTTTTTTTTAATTTTCACAGCATCTAGTTGGGCGATTAATTGGGAAACAGGGAAGATACGTGAGCTTCTTGAAGCAAAGCTCGGGTGCAAAGATCTACATTTCAACACTGCCTTACACTCAGGAGTTTCAGATCTGCCACATAGAAGGTGAGTGGCAGCATGTGTGGTGACCGCGCCCCGCTGTTGATGCTCGGTACTAGCTGGGACCCTGGCAAACCAGTCCATGTGGCAGTGTCGGGGAACCACCCGGCGCGTGCAACTGTGAACACGTGAATTGCTTTCAGGAGAGCATGAATAGAAGGAGATGGCTCGCAATAAAGAAATGCATATCGAGTTTTTGCTTGATTTAAAGGGCACCACCTGTCCATCACCATGGCTGCTCCGGTGCGTTGTGCTTGTTGGAGCCCTGATGTGTAAATTTTGAATTGATTCGCACCAGGGAAGGGGTGCATGGACTTGTCCCAGCTAGCAGAGCTTAGTATGGAGAGTTCCATATCAATGGAACAAGTAATAGGTTTATTCCATGCTGAAAAAAAAGAAGAAAGAACACAACGTTTCGCCCGTGGAGCCTTCTTCAGGTGTTCCATATCAATGTTTTTTTTTTTATATCCACCCCTAAGGTACACAGCAGCAAGTGGACAAAGCGCTGGGGCTGATTGGGAAGAAATTCAAAGACCTGGACCTCACCAACCTCTATGCCCCTCCTCCCCTCCCGCTGACCCTGCCATCTCTGCCAATAACGTCGTGGGTAAGCAAGTGCCTGCCGGGGGTCACATGCAGGAGGCAGGCTTGGGTACCAGTGCCTTTGGAAACCCTGTTCACTCCCCTGCATGTCAAGATTACTCCCTGCTTCTCTCACACCTCATGCTGATGTGTTTGTGTTGACCTGCATCTGTGGGGAAACAATAAAAAAAGACATCCACATTAGAGGCTGTGTGTGTAAAGGTGTAAGATTTAAATCGAGGGGTTGTGTTAAAATTGTATAATCTGCAAGTAAGGCCTCATTTAGAGTATGGTGTACAGTTTTGGTGACCACGTTGCAGAAAGTGTCCATGCTCTGGAATTGGTTCAAACGAGCAATTTCTTTTCTTGAATGGAAAAGTTTGAGGGGGACTTAATATGTGCGTTGCGAACGCTCAGGGGCACTGAGTCAGTCTAGTGGATGCCTTCAGACATGCCAGTGAAATAAACTAGCAGGTACGAGTGGAATCTGTGGAAGAGCATTTGTTGTGAACAGGAGGCAGTTCTTCACACAAAGGCTTGTGGGAGAAATTAATCTTCACAGCCATGTTGGTGACGCCATGTGGACAGAATGGTATCAACTGCGTCATTTACCGCTCTCTCAATTCACGAGCAAGTCTGTTAATTGGAGTTGCTGGTTTTTGATAGTGGCACGGTGTTGCCTTGATGAACCGGCCCTGAAACCGTGCAGTTTTCAGATGCATCTGAACCGAAGTACGTTCCGCAATGCATGGAACACTGGTTATATGTGGCAAGGCACTTCTTTGGAAAGCTTGACAACAGAACACTTTATTTAAGGTCTAAGAAAGTCCAGGAGGTGTTTTTGGAAAGGTAAATACACATGTTGACTAGAGGAGCTCACCAGGCAGTACAGGGGATTAAACCAGCTCTGGCTTCTTTTTATTTGTCTGTCTCAACATGTGTGTTGGGATTCGCGGTGTTGTCCCGCAGGGGAGTTTGGAGTCGGAGTCATGCTGATAATCCGCTCTGTCTCTCAGCTCATGCTTCCCAGCGGTGTGACGGTGGAGGTCATCGTGGTGAACATCGTCTCGGCGGGGCACATGTTTGTACAGCAGCACACGCATCCCACCTACCACGCGCTGCGCAGCCTGGACCAGCAGATGTTCCTGTGCTACTCTCAGCCTGGCATCCCCACCCTGCCCTCTCCTGTCGAAGGTAAGGCGGCCACATGGTTTCTGAGGAGGGGGCCTTTTTTTGCCGCGGATCCAAAGCCTAGCAAGTCCAGGTTCTTCCTGACAGTGGCGGTACCTCGCCACCCCACTCTGGTTTTATTCCCTCCAGTACCCACACCAAGCATGGCCCACAGACACAAGTCCTCATTCTGGCTAGAGCTTCCCGCTCTCTGGGCTGCTGGTCGCCTCAGGTTTGAAAGGAGAGCGCAGCAGCTCTCTCAGAGGGGAACTGCAGTCCCCATTTCTCACACTGGTTATTCAGTTTCAGTAACCAGATACATTCGTTGACTGTGCAGAAAATTTTTACAGATTCCAAATTTATGAAATCATTGTCCCAAGTACTGTAAGTCGCCGTGTTGCAAACCCCCTGGTCTCTCCACAGGTGAGAGATCACACGTTGTGACGTGATGCAGCCCTTCCTGCTCTCTAGTCACTGTATTGACTAATGCGATGTAAGAGCAAAGAAGTACAGGTTGTGCAGCAGATATTTCATCATGTTCCAACATGATCTGCATGCAGACTTAACAAGTAGTGTTTGCTCACAAAAGTCTTGATATTGAAAGCAAGAGATGTATTCACAAACTTGCTTCTTCACAATGTAATTGAGCTGCATCACGTGTGATATAAATTGGAGATTTTTCATGTTGCTGTGTACGTTTTACTTTCATTGCAACCTGGAATACTCATCGGGGCTGATACTTTTTGACCCCAAAATATGAAAATAGCGCAGCAGTTCCCCTTTGATGCAGGTTGTGTGACACGAGCCTGCTGTTGGCATGGTTACCCTGAGTGCTCCTGGGGCGGGGGGCTTGTGGGGCCCCTCTCGCCCGCTGCGCCGCCGCCGCCGCCGCTCGCTTGGCGTGGGCTGACGGCGGCGGGTGGGGTCTGCCGTGTGTTGCAGTGGGAGTGATCTGTGCCGCCCCAGCGGTGGAGGGGGCCTGGTGGCGCGCCCAGGTCATCGCCTTTTATAAAGATTCCAACGAAGTGGAGATCCGGTACGTGGACTACGGTGGCTACGAGAGGGTCAAAATCGACCTCCTCCGGCAGATCAGGTGAGCCACCCTGTTCCTGCGAGGGAAGTGTCATCTGAACCTTTCTGCTCCTCCTCTTCATTCCCCCAGGGTCACTGAACTTGACTTTCTACTTGAAGCAGCGTCAACTAATAGTCTGTGTAGCTTTGGCAAGCGGTGTTGCTACCTTCTATCCTGCTAGAAGTCTATGCTAGCTGCTAACCCCATGTATGAAATCGGAGCATTTACCTTTATCTTTAATACTGCAGTCATTAGGATTAAGTTAGAGTGCGGACCTCTGTTAGCGGTTTGATTTTTATGGAGCTGTTCTGCAATGGCAAATTGCTCATTAAGAACTAAAGCAGTTTAAAAGTATTGGTGGTTTGAGAAAAGCCCAAATGCCCCCTTGTGGTCAAATGACATATTGCTTGGAAATCGGTTTGGGCGAAGGAGGAGAGCAGGTGTGTGTTCACATTATGGCAAGCGTGCTACAAGGATTATTTTGTTTGTTCTTGTTTGTTTTTTTTTTAGATCGGACTTTGTAACATTGCCTTTCCAAGGAGCAGAAGTATTATTGGATAACATTGCACCCCTGCCAGGTACGCACTGCCTGCTAGATCGGACTTGAAGGGGAAAACCCAGCATGTGGGTGTCCACTTCCGATTCTATAGGGTTGGTGTGTCTGCAGTGTTTTATTCCAGTTGGTCTCTTTAAAGAGCTAAGTGGGTTGCTTGTCAGCTTAACTGGACTACTTAATCAGTCTCTCTCAGCTCTTTGGGTTCTGCTGTTTTAAAGATACCTAGACACCTGCAGATACACCAGCTCCCTGGGACCAGGGCTGGGAATTCTTCAGTGCTGAAGCTAGCAGCCCCAGCCAATACAATTACAGCTTAAGTGAAGAACTTTGTTTGGTTTCTGCATTTGCTTCCCCCCGATCTAGATGCTTTATATTAAGATGGAATATATTTATATCTAATCAAAATATCAGAACATTTTTTTGTCCTCGGCATCATTGTGATTCAACAGATATCCGCCTGAAGCTGTAACAGCTGTGTATTTGTCTTAACAGTTTTGTAACTTTTTGTCTGTATTCCTTCTAGGAGAGGACAGATTTTCTACAGAGGCAGACTCAGCACTTGAGGAAATGACCAGGGGGGTTGCTCTGCTAGCACAGGTGAGAAAACCAGTCTAGATGGCCTGCACTACATTTGTCTTTTGCACTTTAAATTTGCATGGGTGCATCTGTTATCGAAACCAATGTTTCCCCCCCCCTTTAATAAGTTGAGCTCGAATAACAGGACTGTGAGAACAGGATACTGTTTCCCAGAGAGGCTGCACCTGTCTTCAGATGTGGGTCGCTGTGTGCTGGGAGAGCCCCGACTGACCAACCCCACCTGGCCAATTACATCCTCGAACCCACAACACTTGGGTCGTAGCGCTCAGCTGGCACCAGGCAAGGGCCTTTACTGGCTGAGCCCCTTCGGGACGCCCTGGCACTGCACCGGCGGTTTTCTGAGGCGTCGGTCGTGCTGTAAGGTGGCTCTTGGCAGCGTCAAGGTGGTGCGGTCTTGCTGTGTACCTTGAGCGTCATGCCTGTTCTGGCACAATGTGGCATTACTGTTTAAAGGGTCCTTCACTCTGTATGCATTTTAAACCTGTTCTGGGTAACAAAACCCTGAACCTCCCACTGCTGCTATTACCATCCCAGTGTTCCTGATTTTGCTCTGCTTAGTCAGTTTTATGCAATGCAAAACCCTGGTTCATAATGGCTGATTAGTGTTCTGGGAACGTTCAGAGTTCTGAGCTTTGCAAGTAAAAATAAACCTATGCATGTTCTTCAGATAAGTGTTTCTAGATGTTTAGGATTGTTTTGCCCTTTTTTCAGGTCACAAATTATGACAGTAGCACTGGCCTCCCTCTGATACAGCTGTGGAACATGGTTGGGGACGAGGTAGGGAGATTTTTTTGTTTTTCTTGTGTATATGTGCACCCAAGGCCAGGGTACTGACTCCTGACCGGAGCACATAAGGGGGTCCTCAGAACCTCATGAATAATTTACTTAGCATTTTTCTGGACACTCCACTCAAAGCGCTTTACAATAAATGGGGATCCCCTCCACCACCACCAGTGTGCAGCCCCACCTGGATGATGCACTAGTACACTCACACACACCAGTGCGGAGGAGAACAGACTGCTGAAGCCAGTTCAGAGATGGGGATAATTAGGATACCATGATTGCTAAAGGCCAGGGGGAAATTGGCACCTGCTCTTTTCAAGAAACGCCCTGGCATCTTTAATGACCACAGTGAGTCAGGAGCTTGGTTTTACATCTCATCTGAATGATGGCACCTTTTTACAATATAGTGTCCCCGTCACTATACTGGGGCATTAGGACCCACACAGATCGCAGGGTGAGCACCCCCTACTGGTCCCACTAATACCCTGGGGGTCTCCCATCCAGGTAGTGGCCAGGCTCACACCTGTTAGCTTCAGTGGGCTGCCAGTTGTGAGTTGCAGGGTGATGCAGCTGATGCCTATTAGGATTACCCTCTTATTAGGGTTTTTCTTACTGATCATGCTGAAGCCAGCTTTCTTTGTTGTTGAAGCAGCAGACTGTTCTGATGTCCCCATCACAGCTGTAGGATTAGGAGTGTGTGTCAGAGGATATGAAGAATCCATGATGTGTATTTTACTATTGTCTGTGCTGTAGCTGTGGCAATGGAGTCTGGATTTGGATGTTTTAAAAGCTTGAGCACTTATCTCTCCTCCTGGCCCTGGAGAGCTTTAGTGTTGTTTTTTTCCCCCCCAGTCTGAGCTCCTTGTTGACTTTGAGCTAATCATTGACTAACTTGTACTTCCTCAGCACCATGTTCCTTCCTATGTTTTCAGTCTCTGAGTGGTTTGAGTTCTCCATCAAACCTGCTGTGCTGCAGGTCTCCAGGAGTGAACAGTGAGAGGGTGCTTAGTGTGCTCGCTAGACAAGAAATAGTGAGCAGGAATGACCAAACAGATGTAAATATTTAAAAAAACAATTAACCAGCCATATGTGGGTCTTAGAACTGTTTTTTTTTTTTGCCTTGTTCTTTAATGTTCAGTTATCTTTTCTATCTTTGCTGACTGAGTCCCCAGTCCTGATCCTGCATGGGCCCCTGGTGCAGCATCAGGTTTTCCAGGCCTCTCTCTCAAAGCACCGGCATCGGGGGAGGAAATCAGTTCGATTAACTGGATCCCGTCTTGCTCCGAGATGTCGGTTTTAGGTCACCGAGACCTGGAAGCGCGGTGGCCCCTCAGGACCAGGATGGGTCCCGACCTGTGGTCCCACCACGGTTTCTGATCAAGTCTCCCTTTTTGTCTCGTCCTGCAGCTGGCGTCGGTGAACCGGGCTCTGGTGGAGAGAGGGCTCGGCACTTGGATAGAGAACTTCTGAGCCCCGCTGGCTAAAGAGCCCCCCACCCCCTCTCCTGGCCTTCCTGTACACGTTTTCCTTTACTCTGCACACTGGAATTAGGCTTGGCAGCTGAGCTCTGACCGTACTGAAATGTTTTACTTCATGGATAGCACTTCCTGCTAGTTTAAATCACTGTGGTGGGGGGCGTTTTCTTTGGGAGAAGTGGTTCGTGCTCACGTTTTTCCTGACTCAGTGTAAACTTTTTGTGTCGGAAGAAAACCAATAAACAAAGAACCACTTTCTCGTAAGCCGACCTTCCCAAAAGTGAAAATACTTATGTCCTTGTAAATTTCTATAACGGTATCTCTATAGTAAACTAAATAAAGATGAATCAGATTTCCGTCCACCCTGACATTTCTTGCAGCCCTTCGGCGCACTGTCCTGTGGAGTAGCTGTCCATGGAAGTGTAGCTGTGCTGAATGAAGGACCTGCGCACTGTACATTTGTGCAGAATTAGTTAATAAAGGCAGTTTCCCCTAAGGCAGGTCTTGACATAAGTCTGAGCTCCTTTCCAAGGAGCTGGGGTTTAGTTTTGAAGATCCATTCCCAAAGCCAGGCTCTCAGAGGTGACCTGTGGCGGTGGTGCTGACGCAGGCCTGCCCACCGCTACGCGAGCCGTCCAACAGGACAGTTTCTGCCCTGCCTCTTGCGGTTTACAGCTGCGGCCCGGGGGGCGGGAATGATCTTGGCACGCTATGCTGCCCTTTTCCGACTCCGAAGGAGAAATGGGAGCAAGCTCCTTTCTGCACCCTCTGGCTTCCCCTTAAAAACTGTGGTCTTAAAGGAGGCTCTTCTGTCATCTATCCATTGAGTGACCTTGGACTGGAGCTGCTGAATCCCACTTCTCCGTGGAATCCAGGTCCGGGATGCCTTTGTTTACCCATCGGCCACTTATGTTGCTCCGTGAATTTTGCTCTACCTAACCTACCACTACGTTAACCACTTTTTATGATGAGGAACATCGTTTGAAGCTGCTGAGATGCTTTGTTGAGAGGTTATTCTTGGAAATGTTTTTCTTCAAGACTTCAGATTAGCCCCCTCCCCTCCCCCCCTCGCCCGTCGCTCCAGGGAATTCTGGGAGAGAACTACAAACTTTTTGTGGAAATCGCAACCCAACTACAGCGTCCTGTGGAGGAGAATGCCCCCTAGGATCGGGAGCTGAGAATCGGGTAACTCCTGCCTTTCCATGTCAATAGGAATCGGATGGTGCTGGTTCTCCGGTTGGAATGAAGCTGCTTTTTGTGTGACCTGACCTCGCGTTTAGGCTCTTGCATCAGAGGCTGCACTATTAACAGGTTCCACAGTTTCAGTTCTTACTGAATTTCACCAGTGAGTTAACTTTTTTTTATTCAAGATTTTCAGCATTTCACCAAGTTACCCTCATTAACAGGATATTAAAACGTTTCACATGGACGAACCTTTTGGGACTGTGCAACAGGACTGAATAAAAATTAATTTTCATAGGTGGTATTTTCTCACATTGTTTTAGCCTTATCTTACTGCCCTTCATACTGGTGGTCATTCAGACTTCAGTTTGATAGCTTAAGGTTTTTTCTCAGAACTTGGATGAAAGTTGAATGTTTTTAACCTCTTCTTGGATAAGTTATGATGGTGTGTTTGGGGAGTGGGCCTTCTGTGTTTTATGTTAAATTTTAAACAATTTAAATGTGTACGAGTTGTCAAAGCTGATTTTCCTCAATTTAAACAGTTCCTCTTCCTTTTACACCCACTGTCATCCCAGTTTTTTTATATTTGGAATATAAATCCTGAATATTAGTGTTCTGGGAAATCAAATTCCATATTTTTGGTTTGTGTTAAACCAGACCTGCAGCTACTTTACTTACTGCTATATTTCAGGTTGTAGACTTTCACTGTGGCATTTAAAAAAAACAAACATCACCCTAGTGTGATATCTGCTCCACTGTGGAGGTGTTTCTATAGCTGAATCACTGTACTAACCCATGGCTACAGCACTTAATAGGAGTCTCTAGGTTTGCACTACATGGTTGTGTACTGTATTTAATACTGAGAACGGGGGACGCTCATTTCCAGAAAGGCTTGAGAGTGTGTGGAACAAACTGCCCAGACATGTTAAAGTCATTACTCTGGATTCTTTCAAGAAACAGCTGGATGAGCCCCTTGGTTTCATTAGGCTCTAACTACCAAGTATTCTGGATAGTCTTATAGCCCTGTTAAAATGTTTAGCTTCTCCTTGTAGTCTTGGCTGTTGGCAAGTGTGCAGCCTTGCTATACCTCAGATGGAGGATTATCATGAAGAGCACTTGTATAAGTTGCTGACTAATTATTCTACATCATATGAGAGCTATATTGAACTGCTCGTGGTCGTCTGGGGTTAGAATGAAAATATCACCTAGAAGCGTCCTTTTGTGCACTTATTTATCGAAGTAGGCTATGTGGTTGCACTTAAAATTTAAGATTTACCTTTAATACAGAAATATTGCCATGAAGAACCTCTTACAGTTGGATTGTTTCTCCGACTTGATGCCACGACTTCGTTGTGCGAAATGAGTTCCTTCTCGTAGTTGTTGGCTTTCAGGGTGTTTCTGATGTTTGAGACCAGATATTTCCAGAGCAAAATTGACTCTACTGTAGGTTTGGAACAGATTTGATTGGCCATCATGTTTGAAAAGTCTACATTGTCTCAAAAACTGCTTTCTTGATTGTCATTTCCTTTCAAGATCTGCTGGTGTTACTAGGATTTTCTTCTGACTTGTGCTGCTGTTTCATGAAACCTGAGTCATTTTAGAATTGCGGTTTTAACTCTAGACACAAGGCCAGGCCTCTGTACCCAGATTGTCATGTCAGTCTCCTGTTTTGTTATTGATACCCGTTTGTGAATTTTAAACTGATTTTGTTAATCATTCACCAGTTCCTTTTCATCTTCATGCATCCAGGTGCATTTGAGGTTTTAATGTTAAGTCAAAACGTCTGTTCTTTTTTCCATGTGCTTTCCAATTTTCATCCCAAAGGAGCCCACTTCTGTGCTTGCAGCCTCACTACACAGCAGCTCAGGTGAATGAGTAAGAAACCGTTTCATCACTTAAATTAATTGGACAATGTAGGGAGGCCAGATTTTGCAAGCCCCAGAGTGGACAGAAGTTACCCCCCCCCAACTCTTAAAAATTGTGCCTTGGGATCTTTAGTAACTGAACAGTCAAGACCTGTTTCATGCCTCATTTGATAAATGGAAACAAGTGTTTCCAATAACCATATGAAGGCATTGGTGTTCAAAAATCTGGTCTGTAAGCAGGAGAGACACCTACTGGTCCACCAACACTACACAGCAGCAACCTGGTTTTCCTTGGAGGCCTCTTGCCCCAGTACTGGTCAGTCCATTGTTCTTAGCTTCTGAGATCTGACAAGATCATATCTGGTAAAACTGCCATTGAAAGAATGTTCATTTTCTTTTGCTTTAAATTTCAATTTTTATATAAACCTCTGTTCTATACGTATGATTAAACATCGACAGGAATTAATGATTAAAAGCTGACATGATTTTATGATTTCAACTCACTACAGGAAACTAAATGAAAAGGCTTTAAAAAAACTGAACGTAACTGAATTTTTTTTTAAGGAGATGGTGGATAATTTTGTGTCCTATGATCTACTGTAATGTTTAATTTGGGATTACAGGCAGCTTTTGACAGCCACTTACCTGACATTGTTCCGCTTTTAACCCAGTTTTTACGCCGTTAGATTTGATTGCTGGATGTTACACAAGTTATGCTCGGTTATGATGGACGACATTCATCACATTTGTAGCGGACAGGTTTTCTGTTAATTGCGTTTTAATTTTTCCGTTTTAGTTTGTAATCTGCCTCACATCTTGGCATGTGAGGGTGAGGAGGAGAACAGGCAGAGCACAATATGAGTGGGATGGTTATCATTCCCATTTTATCATCTAGTGTTCAGTGGATGTTAAAGACAGTGTAGTTGTCTGCCTCATTGCTGACCAAAGCTCAAGTTTCCCTTGTTTGCATCTGGCTCTGAAAATGCTTTTACAGTTTCATTTGGTAACTTCGCATCCCTGCTGGGAGTCTTCTCACCACACAGATACAAAATTGTAAAGGACTGCTGAGTTAAGTCTCGTAAACCATTGAGTGACAGTGCTAACGACTTCATTTCCTTATTAGTATTGATGTCTTGTGCTGGTTGCTTCCCGGAGCTCATTTTTTAATGGTTAAGGAATATAACAGTCTGACGCCCTGCTACCACTGTAATTATTTACAGCAGAGGTTTCCAATCATGGTTCCTGGAGATCCACACACCAGCTGCTTTTTTGTTCCACCTGTGCACTCAAATAACTGAACTTTCAATAGATCATATAGGTTTGATTGTAACCTTTTCAGTTCCTAAAGATGTAGGAGGTTGCCTTTTAACTATTGTTTTGCAACTTAAGATCTTCAGCTTTCGGGTAGAAAAACTTGCACAGGTTCCAGCCACGGGGCTTGTTGGCTCAAGGAAGAGTTAATTTCTGGATGTGGTGCAGCAGGTGTGGGGTTCCCCAGGACCGACGGTGAGAAACTGGGGTGCATGTTTTCCGTCCTGCCGTCAATGACGAGAGAGGGGTGAGAAGAGCCGCCTGCGAGCAACTTGAGTGCATCCTCTCCTAGGGTCGTACTCTTGTATTTTTGGAAAACTCGCAGTTGAGCACAACAGGCTGCAGAGGGGAACGGGTGGCACCAGCTATGAATAAGGAAGTGGGATGGTTATCATGACCATTTCATGGCCTAGTGCTCAGTACATGTTGCCAATCCAAGCAGCACCTTTTGGTGACATTTGCCGTGACTTCCGATATCAACTCGGGGAACCACCCATTCGTGGTTCTTGGGTGTTTGGCTTTCTGTTGCTCTTGAGGCATTTTTTTTTACATCCAGTCTTAGCTAGCCTGACTAGTCACCCTCCCCCACACTCCTATAAGAACTTTGAGCTGCAGTGTTGAGCTGTTTTTTTACTAGTGTTGTCCTCACCCCCTCCTCCTGTGTCCCAGAGGTTCAGTAGTGGTTTACTGGCCTTAGAGGGGATCAGCAGAGAGTTGCCCGTCTGCAATGTTGAACACAGTAATGTATTCATCAGAATGTTTGACAACTTAAGTGGCTGTTCACAAACCTGTTGGTGTCTCTGTTAAAACCATGTATGCATTCTTTATTTACAGTAATATCACTTGTTTTGGTTAGGCACTTCTCTGTCTTGTGCACTTGAATATTCGTGCATAAAAGCTGGATGTTGCCCACTCATATTCCGTTGACAAAACACAGAAGAAAGCAGATTTGTAACGTGCACTTCTGCCAGCAAGAAAGACAAGGTGGGGCATACTTGATAAATATACAATTTTTATACATCACATTTTAGACAAGTGTTTGACTTCCTCAAGGCCTTTGTTAAGATTTGTGGGGAACATGCTACATCTGGAACATCTGAATCATTTTATGAAATTAAGGCTTTTTTTTTGGCTCTCAACCCTGCCAGGCCTGATTGTCAATCTAATGAGATTTCTTGGGTTGTGCAGATCTATGTAAATAGAAAATATTTCACTGTACTTTTTGTATAACACTGGGGGAGTGTAAATGAACATGGGAACTTTTTTTTTCCTCCTCAATTCAATTACTGTTCTCCAGGTAGGGCTGGTTTGAAGTGTTTCTTAGCTAGAAAACTACAAGAGAAGACAATTTGCTATAAATAAAAACTAAGTGATCCTGCCCAGAGCGTCTGTGTGTACAGGTCATTTCATTTTGTTAAGACTCACTATGGTTTGATTTTTGGTTGTACAGATATATCAAAAAAGAAAATAAAGATATTTAAAAAAGGCTTTTTTTGAGTAACTTCTTGTGTAATCTTTTCTCAAAGATAATGGAATGTTGTTGAGATCAGGATAAACTGTAACACTAGGTTTTCACGAGATGGTATATGATTTAGACCCTGCCTACTGGGATCTTTAGTCGTGCCATCTGTACGAGCATCTGTGTGACCATTTGTTCAGAAGAATCTAATAGGAAATGCAAGTGAGCAGCACTTCGTAAGCATCTATAAATGTTTGGTCCAGTCAGCACCTGCAGCTCACTGTGTGAGTTTATGTGAATGTTTATCTGATAGCCTGCGAAACTCCCACGTCCCCTGCCCTAGTTGGGAAACTTTCAAGTAAAAAGGCTGTGCTAAAGATGGAGGAATCCAGTGCTTAAGGAAACGGGTTCTGTCCCTTCCTACTCTCATCTAATAAGGGAAGGCTACTCAAGCTTCTCCTGGTAGTTTGTCCTTGGGGTGAGATGGAAGATGTATAATTCAACCCTTGCTCTTCATTGGCACATCTACAGTACTTAAGTTCTTACTGGTTCGCTCAAGGTTTTGTTAAATGCTTTTCGATGCGGTACAGGCAGAGAAATGCTTCCTTCTCCGGTCTTTGCTTAAGAATAAACATCACACGGGGATCAGCCTTTCTTTTGCAACTCGCCGTTCTCTGCGGCTTTGTGAATAAAGGCATTCATTATTTTCTCAACACGTCAAGCGCTTCATTGTCGCGTCAAGTGCTTCTCCAGTTACTTGAACGATTCGACATTTAGAATAAAATAGTGCAGACGGCAGAATGCCGATTGTGCAATGGGACAGTGCACCTCTGGCCATTGGAACCTGAGCTACAGTGCCTCGTTTCACCTTGTAGTGTGTTGGTACAGCAGGCATTCTAATTATTGCATCAGTTCTGCTAAATGTCAGTCCCGCGAGCTTGTAGCAGAGTTCTCCAGTACAGAGCTCTGAAAGGGCTGCAGGCTGATGAGGTTTGGGCCGGACCCTCGATTTGATCAGGTTAGGGATGGTCATCTCCAGCCCTTGAGGGGCCGTGGGCTGCTCTGGGTTTCGTTCCTCCTCTGAATTATGCAATTGAAAAATATGTAAAAGCAGCCTTTAACAATGGCTTTACTCTGGGGAATAATATTACGCCCCTGCATGTCTTCAGTAATCAGTTGAATGGGAAATAAAAGCGACTCATGCAGAGTTCGGGTTAAAATAAAGATTCTAGGGCCTCGGGTAATTTAGTTCTGAGATGCAGGTTTTCATCAGCCAATTTTCCTAGCTTCCATTTTATTTCCACTAGGTGTCGCTGTCCGTCTTCCATTGGCAACATTCACCTGAGACGAGGTCGTTCGGCATGCGCTCGATGTATTGAATCGCTCTTCGAAGCGCCCGAAGAGACAATAGCTGTAACAGGTAGATGTCAACCGTGCTCATAAGTTAATAAGCGAAAAGAAAGGAGCTTAAAGGCGGGGGGAGGCAAACTGGGTGTGTGCATTTGACCTGAACTGAACTCAAGAAATCCGGATCCAAACGACAGTAGGAAAATACAGGCATGCCACGGTGGGTACCGAAGCAATCTGGAGATTTGCTGGTGGATAAAGGGGGATTAGTTACGCGTTCGCTATGCTGACTTGCGCTGCGAAAGTGCTGAAAATTCAGAAGTGTGCGCGTTGTAATAGGAAGGAAGCGCTGAGTAAGAGAGGTCTGGGCAGATGGCCGCTGGCTCCGTCTCCCCTGCTCCATTAAGCAGGCAGCGAGGTGCGGACACACCGGGGGATACAGCGCTCGATCGCACTCCGGAGATACTGTTAATTCCGGTTTGCTCGACTGAAACGATCTAGGGGAACAGTAATACCCAGGGCCTAATATACGATGACAACGACGATGATTAAGATTGTTTAGGTAGTTCTTGTAGCTATTAAAATTCCCCAAGAATACTTATAATTAATAAAGTGTTTGTAAACTGTTGTCTAGTTTAAGTTTTATAGCCACGCGGGCTTTTAATGGATGAGGAGTTTATGCGAGTAGCTAGCTAATACGAAACACGCCTGCGACTGGTGGGAATGGGCTCTGAAAGATGCACTGGGAGGTTGTGGGTTCAAAACCCATTCTGGGGCACAGCCCGTGTTCGTGTTAATAGGGCTCAGCAGCACCTGGGCCCGTAGCAGGAGGTGACGTCACCCCCTTGAATCCTGGATGATGATGCAGAGTTCACTCGCCAGGTACCTTCATTATAAAGCGCAGGGCATTGATTGGGTCACAGTGTAGTTAAGAGAATTACCGTCCTCTGTTCCCTTGACTAGATATCATCCACCGACTTGTTTTTTAACCAATTTGAGCGTGTTCCTAAGTGACCACATTTATAGTTATAATTCAGATGCGACTCACGAAAGGTGGTACCACAATTATGTTTACTGTTATTAAAAGCGGACCCTGCTGCTTCCGGATGTTCATATCTCTGGGCCGATACCCGATACCCCTTCCTCGTCAGTCCGACCTCAGCTTCAGTAGATCCGCTAGAATAGCTCTAGTCCGGCCTCGCTGGGATAGTTCCTTCTTTCCCATACCTAACAAAACACCACGGCCAGGCGGATTCAGTTATTCTACAGTTGGGAGACGCTATGCCCCACGCTCAACCTGTAGACCCAGCAAAGCCGCAATTCTTGTTTCTTGTGGGTGTTCCGCTCTGCTCCAGGTATTTGTGTGAAGGGTTACGACAACGTTTAGATGACAGATTGCCGATGGCAAAATGCTGCCTGCTGTAACGGGACGGTGCGCTTCTGCTCCAGCTCGTCTCCTCTCTCCGCCTCTGAGTTGTGGAGAGGACCGGCGGGGGGGAGATGTCGGCAATTACACCGCAATGGAAATGCGGATCAGGTGCCCCCCTGGTTAAAGATTCATGAATTACAAAGCGGGGCTTCTCTCCTGACCCTGACCGGCTGCGAACTTTTCTTCTTTCATTAGGTGAGAAGCGGCGCTCTCTTTGACAGGTTAAATACTGCTCCGTGTATTAATGAGCCGGGGTCCCGGAGATGGGCGAGCAGGCCGTCTGCGGTCCCTGCCCTGCCGGCTCCCGGTTTAGATCACAGATAAGGGAGCACGATGTCTTTGCGTTGCCTGAGGTACAAAAAAAAAGCGCGTTGCCCGCCCCGGGGAATTAAAACATATATATGTATAACGTTTCAACTTGAAAGTCTGTGGGGGTGGCGCCGTGAGTTGAATCAAAAGTGTGTGTCACCATATTTCGAGAAAGCCAACCTGTGATCTTCCCACTGCGGGCAAGCTGCCCGCTTTAAAGATGCCTAAACGTACAGGAAATCGGAGGCAAAGCAAGTGAATACAAAGTTAAAGCAGAACCAGGCGAGATGTCAGCGTTATCCAGAGCTCTCGGAGACACTGCAAGCAAAGGCGTAATTCTGAACGGAACGGAACTGAGCCCCACAACTATCGCTTTGAACAGAGGTCCCCAGTCCTGTTCCTGGAGGGGGAGTGTTTCTGCAGGTCTTCTCTGTTTCTTTAAAGTGCCCGAAGAGCTGGAGAAAGATGTTAGACTGGTCCCATTAAGAGAATAACGAAATTCTTTAGGTCGTTAAGAGCCCAGCTGGACTGAAAGCTCGTAGATTCACTGCCCCGCCGGACCAGGGTCGGGGGACATTTGTCTCGCAACAGCTGCTGTAACTAATAAGAAATAGTCATTACAAAAGCGTGACACTAGATGGGGCTTGATGTCCAGATTCTCAATGCCCGGATTCGGGTAACCACGAAATCGGTACTCAACATTATAAAAGCAAAACAACAATGAAAGCAAACTGATATATTCATGAAAAAATAACCACCTTTATCAATTTCGGCATTCTATGTGTCTGTTGAATTTTTCAATGCATAATGTATCGGTAGAGGAGTGTGAGTCATCTGTAGTCACGCAAAGTATTAAGGGTGAGCGAGTTTAATTCTGCGCGAATCTCCGACCGTCATTCAACAATTAATCATATAATGAATAAGCAAGATGAGTAACTGAAATCCCTTGTTCGTAGAATTAAATTGTAATATCTGAAACGGGGCACTCTATAGCTATTAGGTACTGTTGCAAAAAAAAAACACCAACTCAAACAGCTGAAGACTCGGGGTAACTTCCAAAACGAGCACCATTCCTCCAGAAGGAGACTGCTATCAGTGTGTGCTCAGACTTCTCCTCGGATAGACTTTGAACACCTTCCAAAAGTATACTTTTGTACTTTCATGGGAGAAGCCGAAGACAAATATCCACAGTAGTGGACGATGAAGTATCTCTTATGAAAAGTCAAGGTAAACTTGCAAGACATTTAACGCTGCGGTCCCTCTTTTTTTTCCCCATAAAACCTACAGTTATTCCAGAAAATTCCGAGGATTGCAATGCATACCGTGCATTTAGTTTGCTTTTAGTTTCACAGGAGTTTATCACGCTGTGTTCTGGACAGTCCGGGGTCGCGTGGCCAGTGTGGAGCTTACCTATAACTATGGCAACAAAGTAACGGCCGTTGCCGGTGTGTCCGCTACACAGATTTATGCGTTGCAATAAAAAAAGAACAATTAAACTGAAATCCCACAAAACCAAAACTTTTAAAAGTTTTGCATAAATACACACAAGTAGCCGATGTTGGTAAAGAAGACGTACAGTACGGACGCCCAAAAGGTAAAGCGTAAAAACGTTTTAAGGGATGAACGCATTGTGTATCGCAGTAACAAGTCTTTATGGTTTTCATGTACAGAAATTTTCCTAAGTGAATTTTAAATATATGTTAAACGGTGTCGCTGTATCCAGCTCTGTCTTTGTTAAACACTACTCTCATTAGTTCTTTTTTTAACGAATAATTTCTCACCAACTCTAGCGAAACTGACCTTCAATAAACCGTTAATTTGCTCCCATAGCTTTCTGGTGAATGACGTCGTACGACGGAGAAAGGTCAGTGGTTTGTGTTTTTGTAACCGTTAAATATAAAGATAACATTATTACGCTATTAAAATGAATATAAAATACAATATTT